CAAAGAGAGCTCAGTCTGTACATACAGAGGGAGAGAGAGAGCTCAGTCTGTACATACAGAGAGAGAGAGCCCAGTCTGTACATACAGAGAGAGAGAGAGCTCAGTCTGTACATACAGAGACAGAGCTCAGTCTGTACATACAGAGGGAGAGAGCTCAGTCTATACATACAGAGAGAGAGCTCAGTCTGTACATACAGAGAGAGAGAGCTCAGTCTATACATACAGAGGGAGAGCTCAGTCTGTACATACAGAGAGAGAGAGAGCTCAGTCTGTACATACAGAGAGAGGGAGAGAGCTCAGTCTGTACATACAGAGACAGAGCTCAGTCTGTACATACAGAGAGAGAGAGCTCAGTCTATACATACAGAGGGAGAGAGCACAGTCTGTACATACAGAGAGAGGGAGAGAGAGCTCAGTCTGTACATACAGAGGGAGAGAGCCCAGTCTGTACATACAGAGGGAGAGAGAGAGAGCCCAGTCTGTACATACAGAGGGAGAGAGCTCAGTCTGTACATACAGAGAGAGAGAGCTCAGTCTATACATACAGAGGGAGAGAGCTCAGTCTGTACATACAGAGAGAGAGAGCTCAGTCTATACATACAGAGGGGGAGAGCTCAGTCTGTACATACAGAGGGAGAGAGAGAGAGAGCCCAGTCTGTACATACAGAGGGAGAGAGCTCAGTCTATACATACAGAGGGAGAGAGCTCAGTCTGTACATACAGAGAGAGAGAGAGAGAGAGCCCAGTCTGTACATACAGAGGGAGAGAGCTCAGTCTATACATACAGAGGGAGAGAGCTCAGTCTGTACATACAGAGGGAGAGAGAGAGAGCCCAGTCTGTACATACAGAGGGAGAGAGCTCAGTCTATACATACAGAGGGAGAGAGCTCAGTCTGTACATACAGAGGGAGAGAGAGAGAGAGCCCAGTCTGTACATACAGAGGGAGAGAGCTCAGTCTGTACATACAGAGGGAGAGAGCTCAGTCTATACATACAGAGGGAGAGAGCTCAGTCTGTACATACAGAGGGAGAGAGAGCCCAGTCTGTACATACAGAGGGAGAGAGCTCAGTCTGTACATACAGAGAGAGAGAGCTCAGTCTATACATACAGAGGGAGAGAGCTCAGTCTGTACATACAGAGAGAGAGAGCTCAGTCTGTACATACAGAGAGAGAGAGCTCAGTCTGTACATACAGAGAGAGAGAGCTCAGTCTATACATACAGAGGGAGAGAGCTCAGTCTATACATACAGAGGGAGAGAGCTCAGTCTATACATACAGAGGGAGAGAGAGAGAGAGCCCAGTCTGTACATACAGAGGGAGAGAGCTCAGTCTATACATACAGAGGGAGAGAGCCTTGGGGTCTGTACATACAGAGGAGAGAGAGAGAGGGGAGGCCCAAATTCACAGCCATTGGCTGAGGGAGAGAGCCCAGTCTGTACATACAGAGGGAGAGAGAGAGAGAGCCCAGTCTGTACATACAGAGGGAGAGAGCTCAGTCTATACATACAGAGGGAGAGAGCTCAGTCTGTACATACAGAGGGAGAGAGAGAGAGAGCCCAGTCTGTACATACAGAGGGAGAGAGCCCAGTCTGTACATACAGAGGGAGAGAGCTCAGTCTATACATACAGAGGGAGAGAGCTCAGTCTGTACATACAGAGGGAGAGAGCTCAGTCTATACATACAGAGGGAGAGAGCTCAGTCTGTACATACAGAGGGAGAGAGCTCAGTCTATACATACAGAGGGAGAGAGAGAGAGAGCCCAGTCTGTACATACAGAGGGAGAGAGCTCAGTCTGTACATACAGAGGGAGAGAGAGAGAGAGCTCAGTCTGTACATACAGAGAGAGAGAGCTCAGTCTGTACATACAGAGGGAGAGAGCTCCGTCTATACATACAGAGAGAGAGAGAGAGAGAGAGAGAGAGAGAGTATTGTGCACAGGCCCAGGATCAGCCCTATATTTTCAGAACCATTGAAAACACAGCATGAGAGTTGACATAGATGCAGCATTAGGGTAATACTTTAATTATGAAAACAAACATTTAAAAAGCCAAGCGGTGCCCTAGACAAAAACCTACAGAAATCTGCCATTTTGAACCCAAATTATGTTCCTGTTAATTGCTGCTGTCATAGACGTTAGGTTTTCATACTATGCAAGGATATTAAAGTTAATTATTCTGTTAGCTATAACGGTTAACATCTGCGGGAATAGCTTAGCCTTCTGAGAAGAATTGCCAATGAAAGTAAAGATGGAAATTCTGTTTTTAGAAAGTTACAATTGTAAATCGGTTATATTTGACTTCAGTAGAAAGTGATGAGTGAAGGTTGAACTTGATGCAATGAAGTCTTTTTTGTTGTTTACTTCGATTGCTACGTAACTTTCTTTTTCTTTTTTTTCAGGTAGACGATAAAGACTAACAAGATTTCCTGAAACAGATGTTGGTCATCACACCTGCACAGGCCTCTCTTACTCTCTGTAATCGTCTAATTGATTTATAGCT